AGGCCTGCAAAGAAGATTTTAGTCAAGAAAATGCATATAAATAAAACATATTGATATAGAATGGTATAGTGATATACACTAACCCTTGATGTTTAGCGGACGGCGTCGGCATGGTGGAGGCTGGAATGGACTCAACAGTCACGACTGATGGAATCGAATCGTTGGTGACGATGGGCCTGAGATCAGTGCCCTTCCTTCGCTTCTTGCCAGCGTTGTTCCCGTTGGTAGCGTCGTTCGAGTTGACCGCGCTGCTAGCCATTTGTTTTGCCTTGATGATTGCAGCTCTCTTTATATCATCCCCATTCATCGTCTACCTGTGAGGGAAGGTTTGGGGGGCCAGGTTGCGAGCCGGGAGCGAGTAACCTCAGCTATGGCCCGTCCCTCCTGGTGGCGGTTTAGGAAATATGGGTAAAAGTGTTGGTAGTATGGTTGGTATTGGGGGATTGGAGGTTGATGGTCCAGATGTATTATTGCACGAGAGGCAAGGCAAGGTGTGTGGTGTCCAGCGGGCAGGCAGGCTAGCTGGCTGTTGGAGGGACCCAAGAGGCAAAATCGGAAAAAGCAAAAGAGCCCTAAGGGGCACGACGGCTAGGAGTCAAGTCAGCTCAGCGGAGCAACGACGGAATGGTGCAGAAGGGTACTAGGATCTAACACGGTGTTAGGATATGCGGATGGACGACCTCGGGAGGGAGAGGAAGAGGGAGGTTGGCGTTGGAGCGAGGACGAGGGTGAGGATACGATGGGGTGGGTTTGGAGGGGGGGTTGAAAGCAGCGACAACAGCCAATGAAAGCCCGCTAACCACCACGATGCTGTCAGCGTTATTTTACTCGAGTTCTTGCCTACGATGAAGAAAAAGAGGCGATTAGAGGAATCCATCCAACCTCTTGAGCAAAAGGAGGCGAGGAGGGAATGAAGAAGATGAGCTGACAGTAATTGACTGTTGAGAGCAGACTTTGGTGCTGAGGGATAAACAGCAATGATGTAGCGAGGTACTGTCTACCTTGGCGGAGCACTGTCCACGGTAGGCATTGCGGGGTACCTGGTACTTAGGGAAGCGCTTGAGGGAGAAAAGGCAAAGGAGGTTAAAACGGATGAATGATAAATAAATAAATAAATAAATAATAAAAAGTTCATTAGTGGGTAGTCGTGAGAAGTTAAAACATATAAATATGTCCGAACATATATAATAGCTTTCCTATAACTACTCTCGTCTACAAAACAGAATCCTGGATGATACCGGCTCTCATCTCTCAGTGATGCACACCACATAAGCGGTTCTCTTTGATGCTGCTCTTGAAAAATAAACTGATTGGTCACTGCCGGGCGGGCGCCAGGCTCTCTCCACGGCGAATTTGCCCAGCCCAGCTCGCAATCCTATTTATTCCTCGTCGCCCTCGTTAGTGGCATTCGGCTGCAAGCCCTCCAGATCCTCATCCATATCCAGCAAAGAGACGCAGGCGCTAAGGCGTAAAGGATAAAATTAAAGAATAGTGTGATCTATCGTTCCTCTATCCCCGTGCGATCTATCGTTCCTCTATCCCCGTGCGCACTTGTCTATCATAGGCCTCATCACGGGGAAAGTGGGCTAAAGGGACACATGATGATAGTACGGAAAACCCTGTGCTCAGTACGGAGTACTCTGCACGGAGTCCACGTTAATGTATCCCGGCCTGTGGCGGCAATCCTCGATTCTCATTCTGGCGAAAGAGGATTGCGAATAAAAAGCCGATGTATTCCGTATATTGAACAGGATGGATATCCCAGCGTCCTCTTTCCCCACCTCCCTCCCTCCCTCGCTCCATGAACCATTGACGTATGCATTTCTGTAGATGGGGGGAAAGTCTCAAGTCCATGTCGATTTCAACCCTAATCATCTCCCAGCCTTCTGCTTTCACCTTGGCTGGTAGAACATGTTTGATACAAGAAACTTCATGTTCTCTATTCTCTGTTGCGCAGCCTTAAAGTCTGATCCGAGGACTTCAAATGAGATATTTGAACCAAACATATTCGTGTATCATCAAGCTAGCTCTTGAGGAGGAATCGCGAGAACAGGGGCAGGCCTCTTGGACGTCCCTTTGATATCACGTTCGTGCTGCTGAGGATCGCACCGGCATTTAAGAATGGCTTCCCCATTGTTTGAATTTCTGCGATTTAGTCGACTGTAGCATATTCAAAGCTGCCGATAGGGATTTTTGGTGCTTTCCGTCTGGGCGAATGCATTCGCAAGGGGAAGCGTGTCTCCCCCGATTATTGAAGAGCAATCGAGATGGCTTGTTTTGGCTTTATTCGTATGCCACATAATGTTCATTGCATTGGAGCGTTTTTCTATTTTTGCAACAGTCCAGTCGAATTCTGGAAATCTCACCTCTTCCATCGCCTATTCAGTATTTCCAAGATAGCCGTCGTTGGACGGCGGCTTGTTGTGACATAGTCGTTATGCGCTGTGGATCTTAGAGCTTGACTTGGAGTTCTTTTTCTTTTCTCTCTCTTTTCTCCTCTTTCCTTTCCTTTCTTTTTCGAGGCCGCATGTGTTTCCGAAGGGTTTAAATATAGAAGTTCATGATTAAATATAGCTAAGTTTGAGATTTGTCGGGTCTGACCTCGGAGTTATTATTGAATAGCTTGAACCAAATAATTTTCCCTCCCAGTGCAGAAGAGAACAGTCATAATGGTCCTGTCCGACAAAATACCTGAAGCATGCCATTGTAAACGGCCATCGCCATAGCTGCTAAAACCCCACGGATCTCCCCGCTGCATTAATGAGCCCCTTTGATCCCCCGCCGCTTGCAGCCCACCTCCTCGCCTCCCCTCTCCTATTCGTCCTCCGCCCGCTACACGCTCTCCTCCTCAACCTCCGCCCGGCCCCATGCACCCGCACCCCCTCCCAACGCCCCATCCGCGTCGTTTGCATTTCTGACACTCACGACCATCACTTGCCTAGCGTGCCGGATGGAGACCTGCTGATTCACGCGGGAGATTTGACGAACAGCGGGACGCGGGCGGATATTCAGTTGGCGGTGGATTGGCTGAAGACGCTACCGCATGCTCAGAAGGTGGTTGTGGCTGGGAATCATGACGGGTGGTTAGATACGGGTGTTCGGGGCTTTATTTCCTCGTGCAATGCGGAGGATGGGACTGGTGATGGCGACGCGCAGGCCATCGATTGGGGCTCTATCCATTACCTGCAGAACAGCAGCTTGACCCTCACGTTTCCGTCTCCCGCTTCCGCTGATAGTGGCAGATCTAGCCACTCTACGACAAGTGCCGATGCCCCATCTCGGACGCTGACGATTCACGGCGCCCCGCAAATCCCACAGCTGGACCCTTCACCGGATTCAGTGCACGCCTTCCAATATCCCCCCTCCCTTGATCCCACTACCACTACTACTGCTGCTGCTGCCACATCTGGGATCAGCGACTTCCACGCTTACCCATACCCCATCCCCATCCCCCACAACACCGACATCTTAGTCACCCACACGCCTCCCGCCTACCATCTCGACAATTACCCCTACTCCGTCGGCTGTCCCTTTGTTCTCCGCGCAATCTGGCGTGTCCGCCCGCTTCTACATGTCTGCGGCCACGTGCATGTGGGCCGCGGTGTGGACAGGGCTTACTACGACCGTGTGCAGGAGGCATGGGAGGCGCTATGTGCGGTGCGGTCGGAGCAGGGGCTATTATGGGAGCGTGGGAGCGGAATTGGGAGCTTTGTGAGAGGGGGCGGGTGGTGGAGAGATTTGTGCGGGGTGGGTGGGGTGTGGGCCATGGCGTGGAGGGTTGTTTGGGAAGGTCTTAAGGCGGTAGTTGTGGGGAGGCTGTGGGGCAGTGTTGGGGAGGGCGGAAGGGCCATGGGGTTGGGGTTGGGACGGGAAGGGTGGATAGTTAATGCCGCTTGTTTGGATGGGAGTGGGAAGGTATTAAGGGGGGCGACTGTGATTAAGATATAGGGGATTAGATTATATATATATTGGAAGAATTAGGCCGGGAGAATCGGGGAAGTGGGAGGAAGACTAGATGAGCCTGATATATACAACTCCATCAAAAATGACGGAGCATGTGCATGTATTTACAACTCGCAAAATGAAATATATGCGCAGCGATGGTATAAGGATCCAAGGTTCAACACCAGCATCATCATGACCATAAATATATCCCAGACCGAATTTCAAAACTATAAAAACTAAAACATAAAATCACAGCCTCGACTTTGCCGCCGGCGCCGGCAGTCTATTTGTTGGTAACCCGAGCGGATCATAAACCGCCAACCCCAGCGAATCCACCGGATTTGGCACAGTCTTCACCGCTAGGCCCCTGGCATCAACCAAGTCTGGACACAACTGGCCAATATTCGAACATCCGATCAGCCGCATATTCATAACCGTCTCATCTTTCAACAGCTGCATAGCCCGCTCGACGCCAGGCACCCCATACGCGCTCATCGCATACAGGAACGGCCGCCCGATGCCCACCCCCTTCGCACCCAGGCATAGCGCTTTAAGGATATCCGTCCCCCGCCGCACGCCACCATCAATATACACCTCGATACGACTTTGCCACCCACGCCTACGTAGCTCAGGCATGACCTCCGCCAGCAGTTCGATGGCCGAGGGCGCAAATTCCAGCTGCCTGCCGCCATGGTTTGACAGCACAACAGCGGGGATCCCCATTTGCACCGCGCGGAGGACGTCATCGACCCGCTGCACACCCTTGAGGACAATGGGCATGTCGGTGATGGATTGGAACCAGGGGATATCTTTCCAGCTCAGCGATGGGTCAATGAAGGAGGAGATTGCGCGGGCGGCACCCTGCGAGCGATCCATGGAGGACTCTGATTTCCCATCTGCTGCTTGCACCGCGGACCCGCGGTCTGAGAACTTAGAGCGCATGTCTTTCTCACGGCGACCGAGCTGGGGTGCGTCGACGGTGATGAAGAGCGCTTTGCAGCCACGTTGTTGGGCGTGCTGGACGATGCGCTTGGTGATGTTGCGGTCCTTGTTGACGTATAGTTGCAACCATTGGACCTGGTCTGGGCCGCGGGCGTCAACGATCTCGTCGAAGGAACAGGAAGCCAGGGTGGGGATCATTTGGATGACATTGTGGGTGTTTGCGGCGCGGGTGAGACAGACTTCACCTTCCGGATGACCAAGTTTTCCCAGGGCGGTGGCGGTGACGTAGAAGGGGACGGAAGTAGGAGAGCCCAACATTGTGGTGGAGATGTCTACGTTTTGGACGTTGACAAGGATGCGCGGGCGGAACCAGACTTTGTGGAAGGCGGAGTGGTTTTCGCGGAGGGTCTAGTTCAGGGATGTATTAACTCTCTCTCTCTCTCTCTCTTATATTGAATATGAATTTATGGAAAGAGAGAAACGTACCATTTCATCATCTGCGCCACTGGAGTAATAAGCCCAGGCTGTCTTCTTCATAATGCGACGGGCCACAGCTTCAAAATCTAGGAGGTTATAACACTGCTCTAACGGAGGCATGTGCTGGATTCGGAATTGGCGCTCTTCCTCCTCGGGATCGACAGCTTTATCCTCGTGCATGACGGTGTCCATAGCTACTGGGCCCAGATGTTTCGAAGAATCGAGGTATTTGTCGAGGGTGTCGGGGGGATGGATGGGCTCGAATTCGTCGGTTGCATCTTTCCCGGCATACTTTAGAATGATATCCTGGCCGCCGGGGTGTTCTTTATTGGTATTAGCATGGACTGTTCATGTACAAAAAAATGCGTAAAATAAATTAGTGAGGTGGATCGGGGTGGGTTGGTTTTGTTGCTATATACCAGGGAGGAATTCCGTGACATCGAATGCTTTTCCATGGACGATGATCCAACAGGAGTTCTTGGAGTTGTGTTTTTGTATCTCTGGGCCTGTAAGAAGTTTTCCCCCGACCTCTTCGTCGGACGGCATTGCAGCGGTGGATGACTGGGACGTGGGAAGATGCGGATCTAGGATGAGAGTTGCTGGAAGGTATGATGAAGATGCTGGTAGCACTGATAACCGAGAATTTGACGAAACGAAAGCCAGGAGATTCACTAATTTAAGGAGTCAAAGAAAGTAGTTGAGATGTTCTCGTGCGAGATATTTAGGCTCAGGAGTAAAATGTCCGCTGCGCAGATGTGGAGAATGGGTACTTTGACTTACCAGACTTGAGGGATTAAACTCAATTGAACGGAAACTAACAACCGTTTGTTCGATGACGATCAATGCATGTATCACTATCATGATGATATAGTCGGTCTCCTTTCAACATACAGTATTGCTCCCGCTTGATCCACCGAGGCAAAATGCGCGCAACTGCTTTCTCGGCCGACTTGACTCCCAGAAATCCATTCCCCATCGATCTGCAGGAAGAGATCCGCGCGGGTGCAAACATGAAGAACGTGGAAAATATCTCGGGTTTTCTGCCAGTGCTTAGGTAACGACGTCATCTTTAAACTAGTGGTAATCTATCACCAAATCACCTTACAGAATAGATTACCGCTAGTTAACTTACCGAGGTTGGTTCGGAGGAATGCACCCCAAGGAGAAACATTTATCCTTTGCTGCTGCGTGTAACCACCCGTGGACGTCGCACAATACACCAGATCCATCTCTCTATCTCGACATCCAAGACATCCAAGACATCCAGATTGACGGCCTGCGCATAGGCATGTCCGGATGGACAATACGCGGATAAATGCTGAGTGACTGATTGACACACACACCACCACCACCATTGTCACTAATCCAGACTCTTCCTTCACGTGTTGGGCGAGCGCCTCTGCTGACCTGGTTCTGGACGGTCACGCTCGCCGTCTCAGCCTTGCTTCCACTGCGGAGATCATTCCCTCAACCTATCTGCCTGCTCTACATGACTCCTGTCTCTTCCCCTCTGCTCCGCTCGGTAGATGTCAGTTACTCACCACAGATACCACACCGCGAAGAAGACACTTATTCACTTCATTATCCCTTGACGCGGAGTTTCTTTGTTTCCCAAGTAGAATCTCGTCCGACTCGAACCCTTCCAACGCAGTTGTATATCCTCAGATAAACCCACTCTCACCACACTCTCGTAGGCCATGCACACATTCTGCTGCATTCCGCCTTCGCTATGAGCTCCAGTCTCGAGGCGAAGATCGTTGTCCTGGGTGCCCAAGGTAATCTCCTGAATAAAGTATGCGTCTGTACCTAGCATAGCTTCTCTCTGTTCACATCTCCTTCCTTATTTCATAGGTGTTGGGAAGACATCCCTCGTCCAACGTTATGTGAGAAATGCTTTTAATCCGGCTACAACCACTTCCACGGTCGGCGCCTCCTTCGTCACTAAACGCGTCCTCGACACAACCTCGGACACTCTCGTCCGTCTGCAGATCTGGGACACCGCCGGCCAGGAACGTTTCCGCAGTATCTCCCGCCTCTATTACCGGGGGGCTAACGCCGGCCTGCTATGTTACGACATCACAGACGAGAGTAGCTTTCAGGAAATGACCGGCTGGCTAGTTGAGCTGAAACAGAACCTGGGTGAAGACTTCCCCATCGTCATCCACGTCGTGGGCACCAAATCGGATATCGTAGCGGATGACCCTAACCTACGTCAGGTCCCCTTTGAACGCACCATCGCGTACGTTGCGGAACAACTTTACCCGTCCCAAGCGTCCACCCCACCTCCCAGCTCCGGCCTGGGCATCACCAGCAGTTCCGCCTTCGGAACCTCAAACCCAATCTACAACCCAGGTGCAGAGAGCAAGCGAAGTAGCGGCTTCTGGGGCCAGGATATTGGTTGGGACTGCTGCCACGAGATCAGCGCCAAGGACGGCGAGGGGATCGAGGAGGTCTTCCGTGTCATCACCCGCAAGCTTGTCGAGCAGCGGAATAAAATGGTAGACGCAGACACAGGCCATCGGGGTGGGTCGGGCGGCTCGGAGAGAGTTCCCTCGCACACTCCCGGAGCCGTGCCTGATGGGAACAGTAGCTTGCGCGGCGGGACAGCAGATAAAAGACGGAGTTGGCTCGGGTTTCCCCCTGGTCTGGTGCTGGGCGAGGAACTTGTCGACGTACCGGTCGGGTCGACTCAGACTCGGCAGGCGAGGTGCTGCTGAGGACTTGGTGGTAATTATTGTTATTGTTATTGTTATTGTTATTTTTTTTTTTAATTTTTTTTTAGCACTCTTTCCCATCCATTAACTCAAGGCTGTACTCTATTCCTTATATTCCTCCCCTTGCTGCAGCTTTCTTTCAACCATCTTTATTAGTGCATCAAAGGATGAAAATATACCTTCCTCCCGCTTCCCTTATTCTCCACCACATCGTTTTAACGCCGGCCCGTTAAAACCGGAAAACGCAGGATCCCCACTCGCCTTCCCAAAATTCAACCGTGCATTTACACTGGGAGTCTTCCGGATTCGAATGTGCAACATTTCCCCCCCTCTTTTCGCTGTGTTTCATCAATTTTCATTATGTTTCATTTGTATTTCTATAAACTATATATTGCTAGTATCTTTTCCTTTTATTCCCTTTCCTTTCCTTTTTATGTTATTTGTGTTATTTATTTGTTACTCTACCTTTTCAGCTGTCTTAAACTCCTTTGCTCTCTGGCATTTTTTCGTCTTTTTTTTTTTTTTTTTTTTTTTTTTTTTTAGCCTTTCGCTCATGGTTGATTAGAGGGAGGCGTGTCCGCGTTTTTATGGAGCATTGCGAATTTCTCGAGACGATAATTAGTATATTATAATGAATGGGTCTGTGGGACTGGCTGGGATACGGCTGTGGATCATATGTCATGGGCGGTGTTTTGTCTAGACCATCTCTCTCCTTTTCTTGTTCTTCGGTTTATATATTTATATATATCTTGATGTATTCGACGGCTGCATTGCTTCCCCATGATCTTTATTTATTTTCTTTTAGTTTTAGACAGCGTGTGAATCAAAGGTCTCTAGCTTGTTGGGCAGAATGTCACGTAGACCTAGTCAATCAACCAATGATGCAATCACTCCTCATCCACTGAAGCCGATGAAGATCCGATTGGGTTTTATCGGCAGCTTACGGAGTACATAAAGATAAGTTAAAATGAACCAAAAGGAAGAGAGAGAGAAGGAAAATAAAAAACTAACACACAATCTGGTGGAATGGGGTCCAGGGCGCACCCCTAACATTGCCAACTGGTTCAAGCAAGAGCTTAATGATATACTCAGTAGGTAATGAGATTTTCAGTTGATAACGCAGTCAACGACTCAACTCCCGCTTCCACTCCACGGCCGCGATTTTCCATATAAAATTTATGACGGTCATCTACTGATATCTCAACACCCACTGTATTGGAATAGTATATGATATGTAATTTACCCATTCAAATATTTGTATTAATAAATAAACAGTTTAGATTTTAAAATTATCAATATACTGTAGCTACAGTCTGTTATCTTATGCTTTTACTCATAAATTACATATACAGATTGATATTTAGATTACTGTATTATCATCACAATATATAGTTACTCAATTTTTACATAACTAACTATATAATACATATTATATAATATAGTCTGATAGAAAAGTAAACATCTTAAAAGATATATATTCAATAATCACTTATAAATTTATTATAATAATTGTGGTTGACATATATAAGTATCAAATTTATGACAGTTTGCATGGGAAAATCCAGCGTTGGGTGGGTGGTTGAATAAGTCTACATAGTAATTGACGGTTCAAGCTGTAGACAATGTGAGTCCCCTACATGAATTTATGACGATGTCATTTTGCAAGTTAAAATATAATAACTTTCTTTGTGGTTGGTTATAAGAATCAAAGAAACTGGGCAATCTAATACTGCGACTCCAACATCTTCATATTTCAAGATAATGAAAGATTGTGATGCAAAACAGTCTAATGCTCCAGTCAGTGTAACCGCAGAGACATTGAGAGATGAACAATAGCATTTAATGAGAATGATTGAATGAGCAGGTGAGTCTAGCATACGCCCTTGCATGCAACAGAATTTATTTCATAAAGTATGTAACAGGCCTCTAAACGGTTGATAGAGGTGTAGGGATTCATGATCTACTAAAGACTGACTGATCACTTACACATCAAGGCCTCATAATTTATGCTGTGAGGACTGGATTCATTTGAGCTCCAGTATTGAGATTTCCCATTTAAATCTATAGAGTTTAGCAAGGACATATGTGCCACACCTCTGACCACACAATCAGAGGTCAGGGATTGCATGGGGCATCAACCTAGTTCCTACTCCTGTGGGTCATTCTTCTCCAGTGGTTTTGATGAACCTTACAACTAATAGCAATGCATAGTAGAGAATATAAATAAATACTAGTAAGTTTGTGTGAGAATGACTTAACAATGAAAATCAAAGACCAATGAACCTCCCACAAAGCGGACAGCAGCATTAAGTTAACCAAAAGGGATAGTCAAGAGCTACTAGGAAGTAAGCTTCCTTGTAGGACAAGGCTGCCAAACATTAACCCACCTCCACCACGACGGAGTAGTTATCTAAGTTGCGGAATGAAATGTTTTTGGCTTCTCCCTGTTTCCACCCCTTGTTGGTGCAGCTACAAGAAGAACGAAATAAGAGCTGCTGTTAACCCACGAGTTTCTGACTGTTGAGTTCACCTGTTGTCCTACACCCTAATTCGCTTGCAATAATCCGCCTACACTAGTTGGCTTCGATTGAGAATTAGTTGAGGCACCAACCCGCCTGAACTTGTGGCAAGTTGGTGTTTTGCGCGACGTATTTTCGGCATGTTTTTTACGCTTTAACAATAGTCCTCCAAGATTTTTCGTCCACCGCTGGGTCTGCTGCGTGCTCATTTCCATTGTTTTCTCCTTCTACATTCCCATCGAGGGTGCGTTCTTCTACAAGACGGAGATCTCAAACCGCGTTTTTTCGAAGCACACCCCGCTTCATCAACCCGTAGCGGTCACGCAATTTGACCCGTAAGCAAGACATGACAAGAGATGTGATGGTACGGCAAGTGGTGTCGAGGCCCGAGGGAACTCCTCTAGTGGATTGCATATCAGAAAGTATAGGCTCCCGTTATTTCTTTGTCCTGCACTCCTCACGCTATATCTCAACTACAAACTCGCTCCTTTGCTATTTGTCGTCTTCGAGTTGATCGATTCAACCAATTTATTTTGATGCTGACAAGCCTAATCCAGTTGTGACTACTTATCTGAATGCCACAAATTTGGTAGAGCGCATTAAGCGGTCCAACAAGCGACCATTATCTGAGGATGCCCTGGTGGGCTTGGAAATCTCGCTTGCCCTTGGACCCCCGATAGTCCAGGGCCAGTATGATTGCGGCGTCAAGCGCATTGGTCAACAGTATGTGTACGGGGACGAAACTTCTCAGGAAGAGATGAAATCTATTTTGATCAACCTGCAGGCGACCCTCCTGGTCGGCCTGCAGCAGGCATTTATGGACAATCTCGAACTCGACTATGGCAGCTTTCAGACTTCTTCGGACGGCGGTCGTGTCGACTCCATACTCTGCTTGGGTCGGCTGGGTGAACGTCTGGCCCCCGGCGTTCAAATGTCTAGAGGGTTGAACTCTGCGTCACTCCCACCTGGAACTGTGGAAATGCCTGCAAATGGTGACTTGACTGATCAGGAATTTTCACCACTTTCTACGGCCGGAAGCGTATTTTCCAGAGTTGCGAGCAGTCATACTGCCACAACCTTGTCATTGCGTATGAAATCGGAGAGTCTGTTTACTGCAGGCAAGGTCGTCAGCCCAATATCTACGGAAAGAAGCTTTGGAGTTTTCGCCCACAGGAATTCACCGCACTACTTGCCGAAAGTGACCGTTGAGCTCCCAACCAACGAAACCGAAGCGTTGGACGGAATTTGGCATCTGTACCGCGGGAGCCCAATTTCCAACCACAGAAACAATGAGACTCAATCCTCAATTCCGACAATAAGGGAGTCTAGTGGTGAGCTGTTATATAGGCCTAGCTTAACAGCTCCGCAGGCGCTGGGTCCCCGTAGTTTTCCTACCGAACGAAGACCTCTAGGGTTCGAGCAGGATCCCCCAGAGGCACAATACGACTCGCAAAATAACCAGCGGAGCACGTAGGCGAGGAGTACGCTTAGAATTGCATCGAGAACCCTAGTTATGATGCTGCAATCCTCTCCACTATCGAATGTGCTTTGCCTTCTTCACACCTGGATTCCGCGTCGACAGTGAAACCTCCCCTCTTGCCGGAACTGGGAAGATCGCCATCCCCGCCCAGGTGTGTGCCTTCCAGCACAATTACCTCCATCGCAGAAAACTAGACTGGCCCTCTTGGTTAAGCCGACGAAGAGAACCGAAGATTCCGCGTTTTACAGGGAAGGCTGGAAAAATATACAGCGGCGTAGGAAAAGTCATACTAGCCGGTCAACGGCCGTAGAGAATCTTCTCGGAGGCCTTTTCTGGAAACCTACGAACTACAACTTCGGAGGGCCCATGACCGCATCTTCTGATAGTTTTTCTCACACAAGCAGTTACGCGAGTAATTCCTCGTACGCCAAAAAGCCTGGACTAACGATCCCGCTCATTTGACAAGGGAGTCCGCGTTCACCAAGGGACAGGCATCGGTTACTGCTGAGCATCCTTCTCGAAACAACAGGAGCACATGAGAAGTTTTACCGACCACGTACTGGTGGACATGAAATCATAGATGCATCTACTGCTCTTCCGAGTATCAGAAGCTGGGGTCTCTATTTGGGAATATGGATGCGTGTGTGGAGCACCTGCGGACCCAACAGCGGGGTTAAAATTCGGAGACATAGGGTTGTGCAAGAGCAAGAGTGGTTGAATTGGATAAAGCGTTTGCCTAGGAAGTTAGCACATGACTGAGAGAAGTTTGATGATGTTAAAATCCCGCCTATTCTGGTGAGGATTTGGGGTGGAAGTTTTGTGGGAATGAAGCTGGCTTTGAAGGTATGGTGATGCCCGTACCTTGAATCTGATAACGTCCGCCGTAGTGTTTCTATGGAAGGCCATATTTACATGGGTTTTCTCTTTTCCTTCCTTCATGACTATGTTAATTTTTTACCAAGGCAGATCTAATCAATATATATATATATATAACTAACTGTAGTTATCTGAGATTGCTATGAAGCTGTTATAACTAAGATTGAATTCCACGATAAATGCAATTTTTTGGGGTTGAGGTGATTTGAATTTATGATCTTTTAGAAATATTTGCATGTCATTGTCTGTTTCGCAGCTCCTCCCTTCCTCCTTTGAAGCTTGTGCTGTGGGCTAGTCCCTAACCCTAAGTGTCCAAGCAGTGCAGTGCAACTCCATCCTGGTCTCAGACGACCAATTTGCGCTTACTCAGCCACAGGCTGGAAGCTCACTCTTGCTATCTCACTTTCTCGAAGGTTTCGAATTCAAAATCCTCACGGATCGCCCGCCTCTGATCGATATATGAACTCCACAATTTACGACGGCAATGTTCCAGGTAAGTTCCACCTAACGTGACCATCAGAAATCCCCACACCGAAAGACAACACCTGTTCTGATCACATTCGACAAAATAGCGGATTAAGGGTGCCATTGATTCTCGCATAGCAGAGGAGCAAGCCCGCCAGAAAGCAGCCCAAGAGTCCAATTCCCATTCCCGATCCAACTCGAACGTCCTGGGAACGCATGCACAAGCGGATTCCCGTTCTACAAGGTTAAAACGACATAATAGTGCTACCGCGAAGGGCCGCGATACTACTGAATTCGATCCGGATTTTATTGTCGGAGATGATGACTCATCAACTAGAAACAGCACTCCTGTTCAAATGACTGAGACTGGACGAGGCGGAAGTGCTGGAATCACTACTGACAGGGAAAGTGGCAGGGAGAGGACGAAGGAAAGTAGAATAGATTTCGGACGGGGGGCTACTGCCCCACTGGAAGAACCTCCACAGATGGATCTCTCAACCGAAGTGAGGGTGAAGTTACGGAGGCTTGACAAGTTAGAAGGGAGATATCAAGGTGGGTGTGAATTGCCAGTGTTTTTCTTGCTTGGGCTAAACTTCCCTCTATAGAATTATTAAAGGCGTACCGAATTGCCCAGGCTCGAGTACTGTCCATCGAACCTTTTGAGGCAACACTGCGCGAGAATACTCCTCTAACGTCTATAAACGACCCTCGAGCTTTGATAGAGTACCTCAACCAGATCCATTTAAAAGGCGACATTGTCTTAGACGAGCTTAAGCGCGTTACAACTGAGAGGGATGAGTATAAGAAAAAGTTCACAGAAGTTGAGAAATCTTCTCGTGATTCTCAAGAAGAGCCAGTTACCCTTATTTCCTCGCATGTTACAGGCCCTACGCAAGGTGAGAAAGTAAGTGGAAAGGCTCCACCCACGATCGAACCCACATCTGCGTCTGCAGAAGCCAGCTCCTTGGAATATGCGCAGAAATCCCCAACACTCTCAATAGCATCTATTCCTGGGATCTCACTCTTTTCTCCGAGGGCGATATCTGTCACCTCCCCTCCTCCCGTTGAAGAAAGTGAAGAGTTTTTTTCCTTTGATAATGAGATACCCCGTTTAGAATCAGAATTGGAGAAAAGACAGCAGGAAGTCGAGACTTTGAAAGCAGAGGTGAAAACCCTCAAAGGGGATTTGTCTGTTGCTCGTGAGTCGACGGAGGGTATGGCGCAGAGCTTGGAATCGGCTACCCGAGAGCTAACTGTATTGAGAGAGGCAAATGACCGATTTCAGTTCGATTTGGAGAATCAACGGAGTATGTTTGAAGATCAGATATCTACTCTTAAAGTTCAACTTTCGGTGGCTGAAACGGACGTGGAGAGATCAAGTGCTGCTATAGAGGAGTTGAAAACGCAGTTGGGTAACAGATCTGAAAAATTGATCCAGGCTAGTGAGAAGAAAGCCGAACAAAGTGTCGACGCAGCCGTGGGAGAGCAGGAAAAAAAGTCTGATGAAAGACGACTAAATATATTACAGGGCATTGTTACAACTTTGAAGTCGCAGCTGAAAGATGCGGAAAGTACTATATTTTCTTTGAAGGCTGATGTTGCTGCTAAAGACTCTGAGGCGAAGGGAACTCAGAGGATTGTTGATTTTGTTGACGAAGGCTTCAAAGACAATGACGCATGGCAGACTGCTAAGCAACGTATATTAGATGGCAAAACTGCCGATTTCGAAGAATTCCGGATTAGTTTGATCGTGAGCAACACTCAGCCTAGTGTCGCTAGTCAGAATACCATTGCTGCGGCTGGTGGGGGGAAGAAGAAAAGCAAGAGGAAGAAGAAGAAGGATGGAAAAGACGGTGCAGATGAAGCCCCTCAGCCTCCGATTATTCCAAAGACGGAATCCCCTCCTTCACCCAAAACCTCCAACGGCATCGCTGAACTCGAGAAAATGATCGAGGATCTTACAATACAACTCGCAGGGAAGGAAGCCGCCATTAGCAGACTTGATTCTAAGCTTAAGGGTGAAGAAGAACTACGAGAAGAGATTGATTCTTTACGTGATGGGCTTCGTGATATTGGACAGAGTTGTGTCGAGGCCAGAGAGAAAGTTAAAGAACTCTTAACAGAAAAGAAAACCCTTGGCCACACCATCCAGGAATTAGAAAAGGAATTGCATGATCTACGAACACAAGTATCTTCCAGCTCCCGTCAAAATGAGGATGCTCACAAAGATCTGGCGGTCGAATTTGAGGAGTTGAAGATAAAAGCTACGGCATTGCAAACAGACCTTTCCGCTGCTCAGCAACTCGCCGCGTCACGGTTCAAGGATTTGACAATCTTAAGAGAAACTCTCGGAAAAATTCAACCTGAATTGAGGAATCTTCGGGCTGAATCAGCCGAACTTAAAACATCCAAAGAGGACCTTAGGAACAAAACCAACGAACTAAAGCGTTTGGAGAGGCGCCATGAAGACCTTCGATCTGAAATGAAAAACTTAAGTGGTAAGATTGGAGAGCAGGAAGCAGAAATAAAATCCCTGAACCAAAGGGTCACTCAAGGTATTGCTAGCCGAGTTAAGGCAGAGCAAGCATTGGAGGTTGCACAATCCGATCTACGCTACTCTGAAGGGAAAAAGCAAGAGGCCATAGAGACGAATGAGAAGACAGCAAAAACCCTTGCGAAGACACAGGAAGAGCTAAGGTCATCGCGAACGAGATTGCTGGAAGTTGAGGAGCACACGGAACAGCTTAACAGAGACATCGAAAGCTTACGAGATGAACTCCAATTGAAAACTGCACAGCACGCTAGTGCACAAAGCTTGATGAACAGCATGCGCGACCAAGCGTCTGAGATGGCCATGCAGGTTAAGGAAGCTCGTGAACGTTGCGTCAGTCTTGAGGAGGAAGTCGCTGATGCTCACCGCCTCTTCTCTGAGCGCACTCGAGAGTGTGAAACAATGCGACGGCTACTATCAGACATTGAGATGAGGACAGATGCTAAGGTTCGTGAATTTAAGGAGCGCTTAGAAGCAGCCATTGAAGAACGTGATCAGGCGGAAGACGAAGCTAGCCTCGCTGGACGCAAACGGACGAGAGAGATCGAAGAGCTTAGGACGAGAACTCGCGATATGGAGCGTACGTTGCGGCGAGTGGAACAGGACAAAGAAGAGCTAGAGTATGCGCAGAAAGAGTGGAAACGGCGGCAGGGTGAACTTGAAGTAGAAACAGAGCGATCGAAACGGGATCTTAGCGACGTTCATGCGACGATGACGCACCTGCGAGACACCCTCGACGAGGGTGAGAGGCAGATACGGGAGCTGGAGAAAGAGAATGCAGAACTGCGCCGCTCCATCGAGGCAACGAACCGGCGGCTTGATAAACTTCGCAAATCAAATAGGACATTGACAGAGGATGGAAAGGTGTCCAAAGCCAGCAAACGGTATGGGTTCGAGTCGAGCAATACGGGTTCTAGCCGATCACCACGGTCATCACTGGATTCTGATATGCAACAGCCACGTAGTAGTGGACTCGTATCGCCTCATTCTCAGGGTAGGAGTGCAACTCTTCAGGGCTCAGATGTGGGTGGGGTTGACTACGTGTACCTTAAGAATGTTCTGTTGCAGTTCCTAGAGCAGAGGGACAAGAACTACCAGAAGCAGCTCATTCCAGTACTGGGGATGCTGCTGCAATTTGACTCGTATGTGGCTTTCACTACTGCATCCCTTCTTCCCCGATTCACTGTTTTCCGACATACTGACGATTTTTATCTTTTGCATATAGAAGCGATGAACAGAAATGGATGTCTGCTATCTCCTCTAGATAGTGTCCCAACATTACTACTTTGCCTAGCTTCAAAGAATTCAATGGGTTAATCTAACTCAGTTTCTACAGTTCCACACCACCATTTTGAATTCCCCTGTATCCCGATCGCTTCTTGGGAGGCAGAATTGTCGGGGACTACTTGCTCTGTCCCACCGGTCGAACGCCAACCTAATATTAGATCCGATGTCCTCCATTCTCCTCGCCAAAGCAAATGTGACCAGGCTAGACAGTGTTATAACATGAGTCAAACAATTGGGTTGAATTTTCATGTTAATATTTCTCGGAAAACTCCAGAATGAGGGAGCGGGGACCTTGGATATCTAGGATAGTTGCCTTTGAATATCTAGGAATCGCCACCCCGGGCGGGTTATATCATGGGCGGTTTGCGGTTTTTATTTTTTGGTTTTCCATAGTGTTTGGACTAGATGTTATAGTTTGGCACCTATTTCGGTTCACAGATGTCAATAAGGATAATTTCGGGCGGCCGGGTATCGAATTGAGGAAGGGGTTTACAACACCATGCTGAATGTACGGAGGGCTGTCCTATCATTGAATACGACAGGCATCGCCATTAACGGTTTTATGTCGCTAGGAATTTAAACTATAAACATGTTCTGAGTGTACAGACTAAAGGATCGTTGATTGCTTGCGATTGAGATAATTTCAACCACCAGTGATTGGTTTGCCTCATCAATAGCAAAGAATATCCTTTATGTCAATAATTTTTTAGTTTAACTCAACCTCCCAGGCCGATGCAAAACCTTTTTGAACCGACAGCAGCAGCTGTCAATTGTGAGTGATCTTTTTGATCAGAGGTTACCTAGATATGTCTTGAATGCTCATGCCTGGGTAAATAAACCTCCTTGTAGTTTCCTCTCGATTCAGGTTGGTAGTTTCAGTTTCGTTAGTAGTATAACTAACTAACTACGGCGTAACCCACACCCGGTGTGGGGCAATTTCTCGGGTGAAAATCACGACAAACCCATTGGTCCGGGTCATGAACAGGGTACAAGGTTCGTAGAATGGTGGAAAGGCCTGACTGAGCCCTGGGACCGCCGCGCCGCGGGGCAATCGGGGGATCTGAGGTCATCTGACCCAATCAATTTCTTGACGAAAATAGGGAGTAGAGGTCCGAGGATAAAACAAAAATGAACATTTATCTTCTCATACATTTTTATTAATATAGATAGTAAAAATGAATATCATAATTCTTTCTTCAATATAGAGATCTTTAAATCTTGATTTAGATTACAATAATTCATTTAAAAAGTATAACTATATAAATTATAAATGAAAATATTTTATCCCCTCGTGGGGCGAGGCAACAATTAGCGTATTTTTCTGCCACCCCAATTCATGACTGCTTACTGGCTGGAAGCCGATAATTCAGCTTGCCTATTGGCCATATAAAGGCGGTCAGGCACAACGCTAATTGTTGCCTCGCCCCCAGACGAGGGGATAAAATAGTTGTTTACTACTATTTGATCAGTTACTGATTTGTAAGCTATAGTTAGTATATTTAGTAGACGGAGTGAAGCGATGTCTCTACAGCGTAAGAATCATACAAAGCTCTGGGGGGGACTGAAAGTTGTTTCATTTTGTGGCTGAAGTGATTGGATAGGACAATGTGTTCAAAAGAGTGCCTTAAATTTTGATGATTTTCTTGATGTAGAGCAGATTTCTGAACCTTTGATTGAGTAAGATGCTCAAAATTCCCACTTTTAAATCTGCAGTGAAGACTTAACTTTTGAAATATCAGTCTGCAATTGGCTTCAATGCCATCTATTCTTTTTACCTCTGAATTATCCGCCTATCTACCTACCTATCTACCGATCTATCTACTTACCTATCTACCTACGCGATATATGATCGATTGCTAATAGAATTAAGAATGTTATCTACCCACCCATCTGTCCACCTCACTGCAAATGATATCTAATTGATTGCTGATGAAATATAGAATGCTAGATAGATGTCTACATATCCGCCTATGTATCTGCCTACCTATCTGCGCGATATCAGACCAATTGCTGGTAGAATTGAGAATGCTAGCTAGATAGCTAGCTATCTATCTACCTCTCTACCTTTCAACCAACATAACTGCTCAATATTCAATCAATTTCTATAAGAATAAACATCACCATCTAGTTACCAACCGACCTGGCAATGCTGGCTTATTCGATGACTATCCGGCTGTCTATCTGTCCATTTATCTGCTCACCTGCTTGAATGAATGATATCTACCAATGGTATATATTGATGACGATATATATCGATGATATAGCGATGATGATAGCTAGCGATGATATATATCGATGATAGCTAGCAGTGATATTAATATGACTTTGCACTTTTTGCTCCATTCTGCTCAGCTGTATGTTTCATAAAGCTTTTGCTATACAGTCTTATGCCTGAGCTGTTCACCTTTCCAAAGCAATTAAAGATGCATTTCATGCCCTGGGACTTAAAGATTCATTTGCCAAGTCTATGCGGAGGGCAGACTACCTTTAGTATCTATATAAATTCAATATATAGTTATTTAATTATATACTAGTCAAAGATTAGTCACAGACTAGTTAATACTATTTTTCAATTATTATAATTCTTAAATACTATGACAGATTATATCTGTTAATAGTTAATTTACAAAATCAACTCTTTTACCACTCATTCACTCTTTAATATACCCATACATGTCTACAAAACACTCCTCTTTTTATAATTCCACTCTGTAATTATATAGTCAGCTAAGTCATTTAAGATATCAGTCAATATATATTCAAAATCTAGAATTTTAAAGTGATAATTTATGTTATTTTTAATGATTAATTAATCTATTTAAACTAGCATACTTTAAATGTAAATCTATAATTCATTTTGAATCAGTTTTGTTTTAATTTATTTATTTATAGTTTTATTCTACTTGTTTTCATCTATATTTGAATTTTTTATTTTTTTAAAATCAAAGTTGTATTTTTAAAGTGTGTGATCAGATTAAGATCAAGTAGAAAAGAGATATAATTCCACTCACTAGTTTACAGCAATCTGTAACATTGATTCATGATGCAATTTCTACAGTCTGGACCATATTTTAGACATTCATGATTGAAGTTACATGATTGCTCCTCGCATTGAACAGCGCGGCTCAATATTTTTAAATCATGATGTGAAAATTCTTTAAATGATTTTTGTTTAGAGTTCAATGGGGTGATGGTTTTATGTATTTGACTGATACTATCATCAAAAGATTTTAAAGCTGCCTTATCCGAGGTACGTAAGCTTTGTAGTTGATTGCGTACTTCAAAAACTTGTAAAGTTGTTTTTTGATTATTCTTATTTGTCAATCATAAGTTCAAAATAGATATTGAAATTTAATTACTCAAAGAAGAATTAATTAAAATTGGCACTTACTAAAGTATTTCGTGCTATCACATTCAAACTAGTAAAAGAGAACATTATAGCAATACAATAAAATAGTGAAATCATTTGAATAAATTTATAACAATTTTAAACGGATATTTTTTCATAAATTTTAAATTTAATGTAAATAAAAAATTAAATCAATAAATTAATGATCTTATTTATATTTTATACTTATATATTCTTATTTTAGTATACTTTAATAAATATCTATTTGAAATTATACTTTTCCATTTGTCCACTAGTTATACAGTAAACTTTTTAATTTTACTTCAACTATTGTATATTATTTATGATGAATTAGTAGTATTTGTTAGTTAATTAGCTTACACAATTAATCTTTAATACTTTATGATGGGTTAACTCCTGTTAGTAGTCGACTTGCGCAACAAACCTCCTTACTGCTCATTCACCTTCTCACATGCTCACACATGCCCACGTGGCCCCTCAAGGAGCCACACTATAGCCCCACCATGAATGGCCCTACATCGGGCCAGAAGTGGATGCACAGCTCAATGAGCTAAGTCTTCTCAAGAGTTGCCATCTGGATTCTGTTTCTCTTCTTGTGTATATACATGTAGAAATCTCTTCAGTATAGCATGTCCCACATGCCCTTTGGGAGGCTTCTGAAGCGCGGGCGCTGCCCGCCCTTCTCCGGGATGTTAAACTTATACATACACATGCCCACAGAATGCTCCCGCTCTCCTCACAATCCACTCCACAATTGTGTAGTCTCTAATAATTCCTTCATATAATCTTTAACATTCTTTCACTCTGTGCTTCATCATAGTGTGATCTCTGATATTTCTTCATTCTGATTCCTTTTCTATAAGAACTCTCTTTATACAATCTTTTCTTCTGCTCTCTTTTCTCTTTTTTTTTCTTAATCAATTTGTAATCTGTATTGAAACAGTGTTTGGTCTGTTTGTACACCTGTTGCAGATGGTACAAATGGTACAATCTGCAACATTGGCTTAATTGATAGCACGCCCGTTACATTCTTCATCTACTTATATACCTATACATTGCAATAAAAATCTTCTTTTTAAAATTTCAGTTTACAATTATATAGTCTACTAATATATTTCCACCTCATAATTTTTTATTATCGCAAAATTTTGGATATTCTTTTATTTTCTTTTCTTCTTTTTTCGAATAATGGAGGTGAAAGGTTGATTCATTGTAACTATCTAAAGGGCGCAGCAAGCAACAAAGACATCAAAGCTTCTGAGTATAAAAGCTCAAAACATTATATATAACCGACCTGACTATTATATACAAATTTTATTTTATACTTTTATCAAATCTCATTATTTATTAATTTTTTTTCAACTTTTTTAACCATCTGTAAGCGGCGGGTGAAAGATCTCGCTGCTTATATCACAAGAGGTTCTTAGGACTTTACAAGGATCAAGCTATAGAAGATAATACGGTGATATATCGAAAGAGATTCAGATTGAATGATCAGATATCGAGGTTGTAGAATGTAGAGGTCAGATTATTTCAGAATAATCCACTGACCTCTAGAAGCTTGGGCTAGCTGCTAGTTATATACACACAGTATCACAGGCAGATCGAACTTGATATGATGCAAGTGGCATGATAATGCTTTGATTTCAAACCCGATATGATGCTGATGGCCCCATGTCCCGAAATGCCATCTTGTAAAGTGATCTAGTGTTGGAATCTTAGTACGGGTTTCTTACAGCAGGGTAGAGTTAAAAGTTGATAAAATTGAAATAATAGTTTCCTTTCAATATAATTTAATTATATTTACATTTTAAATAAAGTTATTGAGTATATTTACAATTTCATAATTAAAATAACATTTTTAAACTTATCTTTTATAACTATACATTTTTGTAACGAGCGTGCTACCGATTGACTAGGCACTATCTTGGTTGCAGATTGTACTGTTTGCACTGCTTGCAAGTACTGCAATGGTCTAAGCACTATCTCCTCACAGATTACAAATTGATTAAGGAAAGAAAGAAAAAGGAACCACAAGGAGAAGATCATACAAGAGGGTTCTTATAGAAAAAGGATTGGAATGGAAGAATATCCAGAGGTTGTGCTCTCATGGAGCGCGGAGTGGAAGAACATCTGGGGCGGAGTTGCGAGAAGGGGGACTTTCATGGGCGCATGTGGGCACATGAGCGGGCGAACGGGTGATAAGGTTAGTTGCGCAAGATGAT